AATTGAGTTCTGGCTTCCATCTATTTATTTCACTTTAGGGACTTTTTTTGCAATTGGTATTTCTTAATAGTCACGTCACTTTTTCTGTTATACATATGCCGAGTGCCACACGTCAACGTCATCGTCGCTTAAGAAAGTTGGGTGTTGAGTGTAATGTTTTGTAAAATAAGTACATAAGAGCGGCTCTAGTATTTTCAACACTATTTGCCAAAAAATGGTAAATCAACTAATACTGTTCTCCCAAACGCTGGGTTTTTTAAATGAATTTATAGAATTAAGGCCAAAATGTTCTTGAAACTCAGTTAACAATATTTTTTGTGTTTTAGGTGTTAATAGCTGCAGCAGTCTGCACTAAAGCAGGAAAAAGTAAGTAAAATAAATCTTCACACAAGTAGTACTATATAAAATTCTTCTTTTAGCAATTGTTTCTCGACAGTTTGTTGAAATGTCGAAAGCACGAATTGAAGGTTTGTTAGCTGCATTTCCTAAACTTATACCAACAGGTACACAACATACTTTCGTTGAAACGGATTCTGTTCGTTATGTATATCAACCACTTGAACGACTCTATATGTTACTTATAACAACTCGTGCAAGTAATATATTAGAAGATCTCGAAACTCTTCGATTATTTGCCAGAGTTGTAAGTACATTTTTAAATACTTTGGTAGATATTGCTTATATTTATAAACTATCTAATTTAGATGTGATTTAGGAAATATTATTCACAAAAAAACTCTTGGTTTTTGTTACCTTATTTAAAAATTGAAATTGTGTTTATTTTATGCCCAATATTCAGTTATAAGTCTTGATTTCATAGTATATTCATCAAAGATGACAAATTTTGTTAAAAATATTTTATGAAAAGTATATAATAGACATTTTAATTTATATTTTTATTAATTATTTTTATTACAGATTCCTGAGTACTGTCGGTCTCTTGAAGAAAATGAAATTGCAGAAAATGCATTTTCCTTGATATTTGCTTTTGATGAAATCGTAGCATTAGGTTACAGAGAGAGTGTAAATTTATCACAAATCCGCACTTTTGTTGAAATGGACTCACATGAAGAAAAAGTTTATCAAGCTGTTAGACAGGTTAGTGGTATTATTATGTTACTAAGCATCTACAAGCATTTTCATCTGAAAAGTTTTGTTTTCCATAAATTTAAATGTTGAGCTGAATAAACACAGTTGCTCATTCACATGCATTTTTCTAGGATTATAAATAAATGTAAATGAGCAGATCTTAATTTAGATTTAATAAGTTAATAAATAGTTGAATTTGCTTAATATAATTCTCAACAAAGCTGTTTAAAGACAATACATTGTACTTCATTTCAGAATTGTATCTATTACCAAAATCTTAGATCTATTTTTCTTATAAATAAACATAATTTTTAATCAATTTAATCTTTTCAGACACAAGAAAGAGAAGCAAAGAATAAGATGCGTGAAAAGGCTAAAGAATTACAACGTCAAAAGATGGAGGCCTCAAGAAAAGGAGGAAAACCATCATTCAGTAGCACAGCCGGATTTGGCAGTTCTACAGGATACACACCTTCTCCATCCGTTGGTGATATAGCAAATGTGTCAAATGACATAAAACCTCCATCATATTCAACAACTCCAATTCAGTAAGTTGTCATTTTGGAAAGTTTTTTTACTATTTTAAGTGTATTGTGCTTTTAGAAAACCACGTGGTATGAAATTAGGCAGCAAGGGCCGGGATGTAGAATCTTTCGTCGATCAACTTAAATCTGAAGGTGAAAATGTTATTATTTCTGCCAAGAACAGTATTTCTCAACCTGGAACCAAAGCACCAGCTATCAAATCTGACGTCGATGAGTAAGTGTTGTTCTTTCTCAAAATAATATAAAAACCATGAGTTAAAAGATCATAAGATCATTAAAAATCAAATAATATATATAAAGTAAAATTTTAGAATTTATAGAAGCATATAAACAAATTTATAGTAGAAATAATGGTAAATGAAATTTTATTTTTATGATTAGGAAGGAATAATAACAGATAAAGGACATATACAATTTTGAATTTTTTAAACTAAGAAATGTTCATTCTACATTCATCAGACTGTAGGATCGGATTTTAATAGAATATTCAATTATAAAAAAAATATATATTTTTTTATTCATTCATCGTCTTAATGGCGGAGCTGTGGTAGAGTCACAGCAGTGTAGTTTTTATGTGACGTTGAGAAAAATGGAAAAAATGCAAATTCAAAAAAACGGCACTCATTTAAAGACAAAAATCGAATTTTCATGGGAAATCTCTGCAGAATTTGCATAAAATAAATAGTTTTATTTTTTTCCGAAATCAATTTGCGTCATATACAAAGTAATAATGTGTTGTCAACATTTCTACCAAGGTGAAACTCAATCGGTTCAATAATTTTTACGTAATCGTGTACACCAGTTTCAGAAAAGTATTTTCGAGAAAAACCGTCTATTCTATCCTTTGCAGAGGGAGTCGGTTGACAAACGAGCGTCGCTGTGGATGAAGGGTAAAGGGGCAACTATAAACGGTAAACAAACTTGGGCGGCTATTTCCCAAAACTCGTCTGAAAACGGTTAATTCTCCTACAAACATCTGGTCAATCTGCCCCTGTACGCTCTTGCTTCTGCAGCGTGCGCTCCGAACCCGAGCGGATATGCACTATAACTTCCAGAGTTTTTCGAATTTCGTTTTCAAACTTTCAGAATATATTCTTCACATTCAGTTCTATCGTTTAAAAATTATAAAAAAAAAAAAAAACGATTTTCTGATTATTGTAATTGTATATGTCGCCTTAATCAAGAGCAATAATTGAAGAGTTTGCTACAAAATCTAACAAGTCTGTCTCCTAAAAATTGTAGGATAAATAAAAAACTAATAACAGATGTAACTATTATATAAAAAAAGAATCTAATATGGATTCCATTTTAACTATTTATGCTGGTTTATTATTGAAGATAGATACTATAAAATATTTCACAATTGTTCTATGGCACTATGACCTGAATCGTAGAATAGGAAAGTAAATTTTAATGGAACATTTTATCGTTATACCTAGTGATGTAAAATTCTCGAGCACGTATTTTTGGAGAACATTCCCCGAGCACGAACGAGCATGAACGAGAATAAACGAGCATAAACGAAAAAAAAACTAGAATTTATATTTGGGGTGTAGTGAAGTATTTAGAAACTTACTTTTCCTGTTTTTTCCTGAAAATGCTCAAAATTCTCAAAGTGCTCAAAATACTCCTAATGCTTCATATGAAAATAAGAGTGCATTCATATTATGTGTTGCAAATAATACAGTAATAACTTCTAACATAAAAAAAAATTTATTAAGTAAAAAAATAGCTAAAACTTACATGCATGTTATAGTCTTTCCGATATCAATTGAAGAACCAAGACGTTGACAGTATGTACCAGGTTCGGTCGCTGACGTAGCAACTCGACACTGAAATATTTGAAAAATTTGTTACCATATTTATTTAGCCATACCCATATACAGGTCTGGTCGAACTAAACGTGAAGGTGGTAGAAATGTATACGCCCAGTTGAAGAATGCGAGCGCGACCAAACGAAATCTGACACAGCTGCATTGGGCCCCTGGGCAATAAATCTCAGTTCTTGACAAGTGTTGACAAACTGTCCAGCAACTTATTATAATTTTTTACCTTTAGCAGCAAACTTTTTTAGGGACGCCTATGAAAGTCATTAAATTTTATTGTCAGACGTTTTTTACATGTTAACTAACTTCGGAAAGACATGTATGTAGAAATATAATATAAGATAAATATAGCTTTGACATAGTAAGTAGCTCCTAACTTAAATGTAAACAATTTTTTTATTTAAAAAAACTATATAAGAAAAATCAAATTGCAATCTCAATTTGCAATAAATTGAAAATATGCAAATAATCGAATGTGTTAACTAAATCAAATAACAAAATAAAACAAGGGGATCCACAGAGGCAGCATGATGCAATGCACGCAGATGAAGCGCGCTGATTGGCCGTAATTGTATTGAAAATTCTCTTTCGTGCTGAGTGTTCTGTGAGGAACGTTCGCGGAGAGCGATCTATTGTGCGCGCATGAACGATTTCGCGAAACGTTCTCCACAGCACGAAGGAAACGTTCTCCCCTTAACATCACTAGTTACACCAACGTTGTTTTTGCAACATATTTCAAATTTCCAATTTTATTATGTTTTTGCAGTATTCATTTACGATTAGAAGAAAAACTAATAGTGCGCATGGGTCGCGATGGAGGAGTTCAACAATTCGAGTTATTAGGTTTGGTAACATTGCATATTGGAGACGAGAGGTGGGGAAGAATACGAGTGCAACTAGAAAATAAAGACACTCATGGTGTTCAGCTACAAACACATCCAAATGTAGATAAAGAACTATTTAAATTACGTTCTCAGGTAATAAACAAAAAAAAAAAACATTTGTTTAGAAATGCAGTTCGGCAACTAATAGAAAAAATAAAGTAAATTTTTTTCAAAATAGATTGCTTAACTATTTTGAATGATTAACATGCTTATTAAAATTTCTTATATAATTATGTATATATTTTTTTATTCACGGATCCATAAAAAGTACAACGAATATTGTAGATTGGCTTGAAGCAGCCGGGCAAACCATTTCCTCTTCATACAGATGTTGGAGTATTAAAATGGAGATTGCAGAGTACAGACGAAAATTTTGTACCTCTTCTAATAAATTGTTGGCCTTCTGAAGCGGGAGATGGTAGTTGCGATGTAAACATAGAGTATGAACTTGCCCACACTAATTTAGAACTCGTCGATGTCAACATAACGATTCCTTTGCCGTAAGTCGTAAAATGGGTATTAGCTGCGTTTTATTTACCTTGGTAACAGTAATGGTAATATTGATTTGACTAATTAGCATTTAGAATAACTAGCCCTCATTTTTTAAAATCATTCGACTTGTTTCTAAAATATTATTCTAATTAAAATCTTTTTTTTATTAAAATTAATAGGTGCTGTATGCATTACTGAAAGTTACTACAGAACAGTACATAACTAATTTGCATAAAATGTGTCTTGCTGTATTATACAGGGTGTTACAATATATTTTCAGAATGGGTTGCACACCGCTTGTAGGAGAATGCGATGGTACCTACACTCATGAAACGAGACGTAATCAACTGATTTGGAACGTGCCACTAATAGACGTTAGTAATAAAACAGGATCTTTAGAGTTTAATGCTCCCAGAGCAATTCCCAATGATTTTTTCCCACTGTCGGTTTTATTTAGTTCGAAATCTTCTTATGCTAATATTAAGGTAAGGAATGTTTGTGCTAGTTCTAAAATTGTTTCGCAAAATATGTTTTACACTTCAGGGATTAAAAGTACAGTTTTACTCCCTAATTTCACATTTCACTTTCAGTCTCTTCAGTTAATCCCTCTAAAAAGTAAAGGGCATGTGTTTTATATAAAATAATCTTATTATGTGCAAAAAATAGCACTTTGGAACTAAAGTAACTTTTAATCCCTGGGCTGAATGTTACCCTCTGGATTAAACATGCAAAATACTATTATGATTATTTAGATCAAATAGAATAAACGTAAAAAATTATATGATTAATTGCTACAAGAAATACTAACAGCCTCAGGCATAATAATTAAATTCATTAAACATAAAAATGTTGAAATTTTAAATCAAAGGAGTTACACGCACAATGATATTATTAAAATAATTAGATTATTAAATACTACATTTTTTAAAGGAAATTTGTTCTAAATTAATATTTTAAACAAAGTAACTAACTTTATTTTTATACAAATCTCCAATAATTGCAAATTATAAAGTACATAATGCATATTAAGCGATACGACCAATGTATAATTTTCAGAAAATGTACTTTTTTTTATTGATTTAAAAGGTGATTTGAACCTTCAGAAGAAGGGGAAAGAATATATTATATCACTGTTTTAAATGTAAGTATTTATATAGGAATTCTCATGAATATTGGGTTAAAATTAATTGTTTATTATTATATTTTATTTAAAAATAATACTTTCTTGCACGTCATTAAATTTCTAAATTTCTCAAAATATTTTCTCGATTCTCTATACACATTTTTTTTTTAACTTGAAGACAATGCATAATTTCTACGGTATAAATTAAATATGCAATTGCAATTTTCATTCTTTATGTTATATTTCTGATGAAAATTTGTAAATGTCGTATAGTTATTAATGACCTAAAAATGTAGTAAAAATTTAATGAAAAATAGCTACGTAAAATCCACCAGTTAAAAATGTATGGCATTGTTTTTTCTTTTAATTTTTTTTTACAATATTTTGAATATAACATTTTTAGTTTATAACAAGGAATTTTCAAAATAGTGTAAATTTTCACAATTTTTTTATTTGTTTTTTAATTCGAATTTTTAATTTGTACCATTAATTATAACTGGTCATGATTTAGTACGATAGTTTTTGGTTATATTTTATCAAAAAAGTACAGGAATTAATGATCTTATTGAAAAAAAAAATAAAACTCAATTCGAAAATACAAGTAATTGTTTATAAACTTTTGCATTAACCATAATTTTCAGACGGCATAGTTGCTAAGAATTATTTGGAGAGTTAAATAATCCTGTGGAATCAATGCCGTACATTTTTCAATGACTTGAAACTGGGGGCTAAAATAGAGGGTTGCGCCCTGCATTTCTAACCCCTGTATCAGCAGATATGTAAGGCGTCACTAAAAAAGTTATCTATGTATCAATCACCAAAAACCAAGCCAAAATTTTCCTGGCTTCCGGTATTGCTATTTTTGTACGGCATTAGGTCGAGGTTCATTTTTTTTGTCTAACCTATATACTTTAGAAATGCCGTACAAAAATGTTTTGCCGAAACCCCTCCCCCCCTTGGTGGACAGGTTTAGCTTACCTGTGGTATTCGCCTGTACCAACAAGAATTGACGGCATAGTTTCTAAAGTTATTGATATATATGGTAGTATTGATTTATAAGTAATTCATGCTGGGTCAAATGACCCCTTGAAAATTTCCGATAGGCTGCAGTCTAAATGACCTTTAGATTTCTAACTTCTCTAATACACTAGCAGATGTTGTTAGAGGGAGTTTGTGTTCAATTATACTTTGCGGTCGCAATTATGGAGAGTGTCTCAGACATAATATAATAAAAACACTATTACTATAAAGTGTATTAAACGATGTGCCTCTCTCTATGCTCTCCAATAGGATTTATAATTGTCTATAGACTGAGTTACACTGTACGTCCATCTGTCTTCTATCTCTGTTTATTGCACTTATATTGGGAAAATGCTTTTTTTAGAGGGTGTAAACGGACATACATAGTACTTGATTTAGCTAATTCTGTGGATATAATAAATTTATAAATTAAAAAAATACTACCGGGAAATTTTAAAACACATCAAATGGATCAAAGTGCCTGTTGTAGCAAACGGTCTGTTGGTCCTAAACGCCATAACCTATGCGATGGCATCATTTTATAGAAAACGCTTAAAATTTAAAAAAATTTTGCTAAAATATTTTTGAAGTTTTCTTGATAAAATCTTTGAAAATAATAGATGTTATGTTTTATTATATTTTTTCCATATTTTCTATATCTTGTTGCCTTCTAAACTGATACACCTATGGATTTTCAATGCCTGCACGCTTCGTCCTTCTTACTAGTCCAATGAGTCACTTTTCATAATTTCAACCGTGAAGTATAGAAGCATTTACAAACAAAAGTATGTTAGTATATGGCGTATATCTCAAAACTTTAGTTGTTTTTCTCAAATCACAATTTTTTAAAACGGCACAGCATAACTCCAACAATTTTTATTCTAATCACTCCAAATTTTGACCATATCTTTAAAATAACTATTTATTGACAAATGATTGCCCTTTTTTTTATCAAAAATTGAACTTTTTACTTTTTTTTGAAATGTTCGCCAACCACACAAAAATTATTGTTTTCAATATGGCTCTAGCATCGTCATTTTGTACTGGTTATGAATAAATATATTTTTTTGAATGGTTAATAACATCCTTGAATATTATTATCCTTTTACTTTTCCTTCCATTAAAAAAAAATCACAAAAGGACGCTTTATTTTCTCAGTTAATAATGGTGTTACCTCTTAAGTGCATGTCTGGACTACATTTTACATCTGAAATGATGAAATTGATACTTCAGTATAACCGAGGTGTTATTATCCTTTCAAAAGTTCTTCGAAATGTATTATTATTGAATTACATTATGTCTAGTTTTATTATTTTTTGTTGTCAAATGAAATTGTTAAAAATAATATATTTCTGGCTGCATTTTCAGATAACTGAAGTAGTCCTCGTGGATGATGATTCTCCTGTCAAGCATTCTGTGGAGGCTGTATTGTTTCCAGATAAATATGAAATAGTGTAAATGTTATATTAATATACGAAGAGGTCTTTATTATAATACAATTCACTTGTATAAATATTTACTAATATTTTATCCATTATGCAATGTTGCTTTTTGTACAAAATTTTAAGGAATTTGTCAGTCTTTATTTTTACCTATATAAATAAATTAAGTAAGAAATTAAGAAAAAAAATTTTTTTTTTCAGATCAATATCAGTCATTAAACAAAATCTAAAAGCTTTTAATTTGGATTTCTTAATTAGAAAGATCAGTTGTACTTTTTTTTATTGTTAAATAGAGATTGTAAAATAAATTGAAATACAATTACTATTTATTTACCCATCAAAATTGTAAAAGGTATTTATTTATTTTATTAAATCTTTTATTACTTCTCTGCTTTACATATTTAATATTCTACTTGAATCTTTTGATGGCACCATTATTTTTAATCTTTTTATCTTTTATTTTTAACTCTACAATCATGAATAGGCTAATCCGTAATGTATTCTCCATTGTTATGTAAGACCTTCCAACATTCAACATGTTTCTTCTGCAGAAATCCGCCAGTTTTAACTTGAAAAATTAATCCAACCACAACGTTAATAGTTTGACAGAATGGGGGAGGTGAAAATTAGTAGGCGCAAGATCAGGAGAGTAAGGCGGATGGGGCAGAATTTCCCTATTCAACTCCCGAATGGCCGTTTTAGTCATATCGGCGATATGTGGTTGTGCATTGTCATGTTGCAAAAGATCGTCGTATCGCCGATCAGATCTGCTGAATAACTGTGTGAAGTCGTTGTAGTTGTTGGACATAGAGTTCTGCGTTGACGGTTCGATTGTTGTAATAATGAATCCCTTTACAATCCCACCAGGTGAATAACATTGTCTTTGGGGGATGAAGTTCTGGTCTTGTTCACGGAGCTGCTTGTTCCTTGGAGCTTAACCATTCTTTCTACTGTTTAAAGTTCACATACAGACACCATTTTTCATCACCAGTGATAATACGATGAAGAAAACGTTCCTTATGACCACGTGTTGATGGATGACGACAGAGCAAACTAGCGGCAATTGCGGTGCGTTGGTTCTTATCGTTTTCATTCAAAATTTGTTCCGAGCCTTTGAACTTTTCTCATTGAATGCAAGTGGTTTCCTACTATTTCGTGTTCACATCCCATCTCCTGAGCCAATTCGGTTGTTGATTTTCGTGTTGAATGGACATTCAATTGCTCCTCATCAAATTAAATAAAAAATATGTCATTATTGCCTGAGAGAGCAAAAAGTTATGAATGGATATTATCACCATACATCAATTTTGCAAGAGTTGTAAGTTTTAAAAAACGCTCTGTATACCACCAAATTGTGTAGATCGAAAGCAAAACTTCACACCCCAAAAATAATCAAAATCAATTAATACGTATTCAAGTTATTTATAAAATTCAAAAAATTTTCGCTAACTTTGATGCCATCTAGTGGCCAAACGAAGAGATTTCGGATATAGGTGAATTAGCCTAAATCTGCCTATTTTGAGTTCACGAATCTGTGGTCTTTCGTTGTACACGTTATTCTGGGACACCCTGTATATGTTAAATTTTTGGAACGGCTTGAGTGGCTTTAGCATTTTCCTTGTCTCAATTAAAATGAAATTGCAGCAGGTGCCGAAAATGATCAATTTTGTCAACTTTTCATTTCAAATAAATGAAAATTCACAAAAATTAAATCTAACAAAGCAAATAAAAACAATCTTATAGAGTAATAAGTCCTCTTTCAAATGCATTTAATTTTCATGTGAATTTTTAAAGGACCCCACACAAACCTTATCGAAATGGATCCCCGGTGGATCTCAAATTTTGGGAATGAACTCTTCGGAGCATCCTGATCAAAAGTTCTCATGGGCACAAAACCCAGAAACTGCTCCCAACCCCCCAAAAGGTCGGGGGATACATTCGGCTCATACCACATCACCAAAAAAGTATCTGACCCACACATGCAATATATGGTTACCAGTGTATTTTTGAGCGCTGGACATGAATACGTCATCATTTTTGCTCTAGCACGTATCAGTTTTCAGCAAATCGCTGAAGAAGGTTCAGAAAACTGAAGAAAGAACATCATGGTTCTTCAGCGTTTTATTGAAAACGGAAGAATTTTACGTCAACTCTAAATGCGGATTCATATAAAAAATGTTACCCATTTTCTGCGTTACCCAGTACCAATGGCGTGGATGTAACGAGTTTCTGGTCCCATATGTCTGTGTCTATGTCTGTCTGATGTTTGGGATAAGTTTTGCACGATAAGTTACTACTAAGAAACATGATTATTTGAGGGTATTAGTTGATCCAGGTTATAACCCATGGCATGCAAACCGGCGAGTATAACCACATTTTTATTAAAAAAAAATAAATTCAGTTAATTTCTGGATATTTTTCTACTACCAAATAATTCTTTGCACTTTAGTGGTAACTTTTTACCCAAAACTTCTCTCCTTCAAGGCGGGGTAGGCAAAAAGGGCCCACTTGTGCCCTAATTGCCAGGTGCAGTACTACTACTATCTCTCCTTCAAAGCAGTTAAAAGTTATTGGCAAAAACCCTTTTATTTAAAGTCATCTTCAAACACGTCTACCTCCCGTAGGGTGAATTTGACCCATGTTTATATGAAATTTTTATCTTATTTTGAGTGGAAAATATACCCTCAAAGTGAAGTACCACTATTTCCGAACACCCGGTATATTTCCCATTAAATACTAAGATAAATGTGCAGAATAAATATAAAACTACACTAAGATAATGCTAAGGATAAATATGTAATTAATAAATATTTACAAGCTTAGGGTCCTCCACAGGGGAACAAAATTTTACAAATTTGCTAACAGAAATATTTGGTTGAAAAGAACTGGACGTAAATGTGAACTATGTAATTTAGATTGAGTAGTCAAATACTTAATTTGGAAAAAATTATACAAAAACTTATACATACCGAAAAGAAAAAAACCCATTTGTTTATGAGCACTGAACTCTTGCAGAGTGACTGGAGACTCTATTACACTACATTTGGCTAGAACTAGGCTAGTTATTACCGAGGCTAAGACTCAGGTTTTACTTCACAAAGACTGAAATAAGAATAGACTGGTAGATGAGAAAAGACTCATACGAGACTGCCCACTGAATTTGGATCAAGACTTATTTACATTTGTATCGTTTGATACTCGTAAGTTTCCATGTAATTTTGTAAATTGTGCAGCAAATAAACAAGTTACGTTATTGTTTCTACAGTAGAATTTTTTGCCGGCTAATAGAATATGTTCTGTCCATCTATGGACATTTATGATAAATTTCTGAGCCAAACAAAATGATGTGGTGCTTTCCACAACCTCTAAAAAATAAAAATCATAAAGTTGAAACCAAATAGAATGGAATTTTAAATATAATTTTGAACTGACATAACTAAAACAAATGTATATCCCATTTTTTAAATAAAATTAGTCCATTTGTGGTCTATTTACTCATTCACAATTTAACACCAAGTTAGTTAGTTAGATTCACATTATCATAAATGCGAAGCCATAGTAGGTGGCGCAACCAATAAGAATATCAATGTATATACGAAGCATATCCACAGAGTATTCAATTTTTTTTAAATCAAAACGGCAGTCTATGAAAATTTTAAATATTGAGAAAGGTACATCAAACACCATTCCGCCTTCAACCTCAATGTACTTTGTGCCGAGGGATAAGCTTACTGATACAAGCTATAGCAGGGGGGAGTCTATTTTTTAGCTCACTCAAGTTAATTTGTAGGAAAGTAAATATTACTGTATTATATAATGTCATGCTCTGCACTAATTTTTAAGACTTGATATCGAATTAGTTGCATATAATTAAAACGAATGATAAAATTACTTTAAAACTTTATTAATTGGTAAATTATATATAAAATTACTTTGACAAATTAAGACAATCACACCTTATACTTAATTGTTAATACAATTTATTACAACACAGGCAAAAAATAGTTTATGTGCAGACGTTATATACATTTTGCAAATATGTAGTGCTATTATATTTGCATTGTATATATTCTATTAACTCTTTATTTGAGCCAATATGTAAGATACTAAAGGCCAACAGTTTTTAAACTTTTAAAACTTCTTAACAATGAACTTGCAGTATCTTACAAAAATTGAACATTTTTGTACTGTCAATCAAGGTTTCAATAAAAAAATCGTACGTTTTTATAGTAAATTTTACAGTCTTTATTCATTGGGCACAAAACATAAATAACTATCATTACAAATAATAAATAAATAATTTAATTACAAATTTATGTAGGCCCTCCTAATAATTTGTATCAGAAACATTTATTACAAAAGTAACTTTTATCGGTTTCAAGATTTTTAAGGATTCCTAATAATAATTATATATTTCACATATCTAAAACTAGTCTAAAATTTTAAAAACATATTTATATGATTTTTTAGAATAACATATTTTCATTTTGTGTTATGAAGGAAGATATTGTGTCTATTACTATATATTTAAACATTAGTGTCACGTGTCACATTAAAAAAAAGAGAGAGCATATATTTTAATGAATTATGTCACTTTCTTGTCATTTTAATAAAACATCGGACACAATTTTCTCAAAAATAAATTGCAACAAGATATTTAATTTTGTATATACCAAATGTAAAGTGTTACATACACAATGTGTAAATTTAGTATACATTTTATTGTAGCAACGATTTCCAGAAAATACAACACTTTCAAATCTAACAACCCCCAATAATTTATTCGTCGTCTATCTTTATCGACCGAATTGGTATCAACTAGGTGAATATTGATGATGATATAGATGGAAAGTAGTTTATTTAAAATTCTTAGAATTTTAAAACAATTAAAATTCACAGGGGTAAACACCACAATAGATTTACAACCTTATACTTTTGGAACCCACATTAAATTTATCAAGATGGTGGTAAAAGAGCCTCAAAATATTGTTGCCAATTGTATTCTATTTTTACTGTGTAGTATAAAGCTGTAAATATGTTTACAAATATAATTGAATTAAATAAATTAAATTCGATCCTATTTAAATTTTTAAGGACTGTTGTGGAATTAATAATTTTTGAAAAAATATCATATATGCAAATCCAACACTTCATTAAAATTAACTACAAATTCATCACAACGAAACTAATTCAGGATTTCTTATAATTAAGCCAAATATACTTTAATCTAATATTTATGCAATTGGAAAATCGATGAACCAATTATCGTCAAATTATTTATCAAAAAATATGGAAATATTTTATAATTTATATATTTTTGTTTCTTTTGTTGAATATAAAATTTAACGTTTTAATTTCTTACTTGACAATCTCTTCATGGGACATAAACGTAGGTTTTCTTAGAGAAAGTTGAGTATTTTTTTAAATAATTTGACTAAATTGCGATATCGCAATAACGTGAACACCACTTGTATCACTCTTTCTTTGTAGAAGCCTATTTATCCAACAAATCTATTATGTATAATTTAGCCCAATGACGTAATATTTATTTTGAAAAAGAATGCAATAATAGCACTTTTGTACGTCATGCCAAATTTGGATTGGTTGAGATCATTAGAACATCGATTTCACAGTTACAATCAAATATTTTCTTTCAATTCTACTTAAATAAATGGACTACTATTTATTTGTATGAATTATATTTCTGCTTCATTTAAATACATCCTGGTAAAATTTTTTATATTTTTTCAATTTTTAAATAACAATTGTAGGCCTAATTAAATTTGTAGTTTTTATATATTTTATAAAAAAAGTTTTACATTGAACCGTGTAATATACCAATCATCATTTTTGTAAATAAGAATAACTGTAATTTTCATTTAATAAAGAAATATATTTGGCAATGTTAGTATGGTGGTGTTGAGGCTTCGGAACAGGTTGAATCTTGTCTACAACTTAACGAATGTTGTAATACCATTGGCATTAACCATTCTTTTGGGAGGCAACGTTCTAGAAATGGTACCCAACTACTAAAATACGCCAGACGATTTACCCATGGTGGTATATCTTGACCACTTAATATCTGAAGTGCAAAAATTACTATTATTATAATGATTCAAAAATCATTCCGATATAAAAAATTTAAATTTAAAAAAAGGCACCCCCATGTATACGTGTTTACATTTAATACATATATGTATGGTCCTCTTTCTTTAAGAGGAAATTAAAAATTAACTGCACCTACTTATGAATATGATATAATTAGATTATAAAACATTATTTTTATGTACCCTAAAATTTATTAGACTAATTTATAATTCAACATGAATACTCAGATCTTGAAATGAAATAATTAAAGTTATATAGAGGTATTGTTCCAGAGTGTAATACTACATTTACATTTTTTTTTCAATTTAAAACTTATTAAAGTAAAAGAACTATGACAGCCATTACATCGGCCACATTCACCAGACTATCGGTGATATGTAAAATTAAAGGCACAGAAATTTAAATCTAAAGTTCAACAAGGAAACTTGATTAGATTAAATTGTGTGATCACAGTAACAAGAAGACAGCCTGGTACCTGCGAGCAAAACCAATAATTGAGGATCACAGAGATGAAAGACAGTAAAAAGAGAAGGACAAAGATATTACAATGTCTCTGAACTGTATTGTAGTGTTGATTAATTATCTACATTCAGTAAACTATTATTAGTTACCAGCGAGTTAGCTGAACATGACCATTATAACAATGGAATTTTTTTGCAATATATTCTTTTTCGGTACAACAGAAACTTATAGTCACCCTTGTTTTCAATATTTAGCCTTTCTTATGAGTTCAATTTTCAACTTAGCTTGTAACATACATGAAGACCTTTTCATATAGTTCCTCAATAATCACATCTCAAAAAGCAAAAAGTAATCAGCATGCACATAGAACTATTTTTCAAAGCATTTCACAATTTAACATTGCAGTAGGTTTAAGAAAGAAAGATACCTAATTAAAATAATATGAAGAAATAAAAGAATTTACCACAGGTATATTCAAAAACTTAAAACTGGAAGTTGGGTGACAATTTAACTAACTGTGGTCTGTTTAACAGACACAAGCCACCATAAGGTAAAAAAAAAATCAATTTAAAACAACAAGTCATGTATAGTTTTTACATGTAGCTCCGAGCAATAATAATTTTTTCTTTAAAAATAATAAATAACCAATCATCTAACACAATGACGAATTTAAAAAAAATGTAAATGAAGAATTGCTTCTAAACAAATATTACCTGTAAAGAGAAGACTTTTTGATCCGGGAATAAATCTGGAATAAAAGAAATTTTATTCCAAGAATATGTTACTCCACGCAAAATACCAAACAGATCCAGGAATTATTAATTAGAATTTTAACAATCAAATTATTCCCAATATGATCCAGTTCCTTGACCCTTTTATTTGGCTGACATTAATTTAAATTTCTATCTACAATAAGGAAGTACCAAAAATTAAATGTATAAATTTGATGCCACTTGAAACAGATGGAATTTTGGAGTCTAGAACAATAAATGAGTGTATTAGGGTTGTTAACCGAATCATAATTTGACTACTTGAAATACTATTAAAAGCTTTATAGAATATACAGTGATTCTAAAATATGTGGCCAAATTTATACGGTGGAAACCAGAGGTTAAAATAGACTGTATTTTAACACCAAAATGCTTTACTTTAATACCGAAATGCACCCCTAATGATTTACAGCCATTTTTTCTGTGTAGCGCACAACAATTTGGAAATTTTAAATATCTCGAATTGCTGTGACATTTATCTAAAGTCAGCAACATATCTGTATGTTCATTAAAAACAAAATTTGACACTTTTTCATAAATTAAATTAAAACTTTATAAATAAGTATATTTTATGCGAACTAATACGCTAATTATTAACGCTAATATCCGTATGACATTTCAATAGTTTTAATAAGCTTGGTTCTTGTTTTAAATAGCTTACTTTAAAAATACTTAATAATATTAAATGCATCGTGATCAATCCTATTTAATTTTTTCTTTTAATAATCGTATCAAAAAATTTCAAAAAAATAAACAGAATGAAATTATCTGTCCACTGATACAGTGCTTGCCATCCAAACACGGGATATAAAAAAATACAAGGTGAAATTACATTACCCCATACCGTCAATGCATTTTATTTATTGCCATATTGGTCTCGTGTCAAATTTAAAAAATATATAATAATAATAATAATTATAATAATATCTACTCCTCATTCTAATTACGAGAATTAGCCCATAAGTCGGAGACTTGTGCGGGAGAGGAGGTGGCATATTATTATTAGGCAGGCCGCATTTGCGCCCAGGAACGACTTATGTTGGTAGGCCCTAACCACCATTCAGTGCAGGAATGAGGGAAACCTGGAAAACCTCATGAATTAGGGGGGTGGTCAAATGCCAACCGGTGTCAATCTCTCACATTGACCCAAGCCAACATTCTTCCACCCTACCATACCTGCACAGAGGGTGCCAATCCTCCGTACAAGCATAGCTAATCTACGGTCTACCGGCCACGGGAATCGAACCCGGGCAGAAATTTGCACACGATTAAAGGACTAACGCCTTAAACCGTGCAGCTATCGACCCCCCCTATCGATGATATATACTCACGTTTAGGAGAAATTTGACTTTTTATTTTTTTATTTTAACTTTAAAGGGCTGTAACTCTTTAGGGGTACATTTTGGTATCTATGTATGTAAATTAGGTCTAAACAATTAATTTTAACCTCTAGTTTCTGCCGTATAAGTTTGGCTACATATTTTAGAATCACCCTGCATAAAAAAAACATGGATAATAAGGATAATTATATTCATAAGTGCAGTAACGGCTTAGTAGAAGAAATAGTAATAAATGTTTAAATATGTACGCAGATTATATGCATACTTTTATATTTTAGTATGTTAAATTGTCCGAAATTATTTATTTGTATTTACTTTTTTTAATTTTATGATGAAGAAATCCTTACGCCAAAAGAATAAGACAAGAAAAAAGAAGAAAAAATTCGACCCATGAAATGAAATGAATCTTTAAATGTTTTATTTTCTTTTTTATCTATTTTCTTTTCAAAAAATCCGTGTTTCAAAAATATTAATATTTCGATATATATATACCTAGCTGCAAATTTTGTCAAAACTAAACAATAAAATAATGCACAATGTGTCATCATCATAGTTATTAACTTTTCAGAAAATTTTAAATTTGTCAATTATTTTATACATATTCTCAAAAAGATCAATGCCTAAACTATCTACTGTCCTAGATGATAATCAAAACCCTTTAATTACTCAAGATATAGAGAGTCCCTCTTAAGATAGATTCTCCTGTAGCTCTGGTAACACCAATAATAAAAAAAGTGTGCCAAATTTCAGTTCAACTAAATCAACTCTTTCCTATTTTGAAATTGATTTTTATCCTATTCCTTCTAGACATTGACTGATTGCATTTTTTTCAAATGAAACAGACCCTATATTATTTTTTTTTATTTTCTCGCTGAATTTAAGACCTACTTTGATAAAAAAGAAATTTCCAAACATTTCAAATATCAAATACTTATAAGACAAGATGCAGTTTTCACCATTTGATCAAGAATGAAGTACCTATCCTATTCTTATTTAGTTTATACATTTCAAATAGAAAATAGTAACAAAAGTTCCAACTTTTGGATCGTAGATAATTTTTCTAATTGATTTTTTAAAAGTAGCTTTATGTTATCTCACATAGATAAATACTAAATGTAATTAGTTTTTGATTTCGTCGAAGTATATTAGAGTTTACTTCTTTAAATTTGCAAGATATTCGAGGTGTTGCATGCCTATTTCTTTGGTGTTATTTCAACAATACATAATTGACATGTTGCATTGTTTTTTGTTTATAATAGTAAATCATTATAAACAAAAATTAATTTACACATTGTAGTAATATTTTTTAAATATGGAATATGTGTCTAATATCACGAATTTTCAACTTATTCATCACAGCTACAATTTACTACGACTAATAAAGTAGAAATAGCTCAACCATTATTCATTTCAGGAAATGCAATTGAAAAACCAAGACTTGAAAGTCCAGAGAGAACTATTCAAAAAATGTTTATCAACTCAAAGAAGTGTGCTTGAATTGAACTGCGAATTTTAGGGAAAAAATTCAAGTTACCTTTTTTACGTATTTTGTGCATTAGAATATAAATCCGTTACAATAACTTGTAAAAAATGCAGTGGCGTAGGTATCTTTTTATAAAAAAGGGGGTGACCCCTGTCCAGTTGTACACCGCGGGTTGAACCTTTAGAGCTCATGTTTTAGGGAATGCAAAGCCTACTATCACACATTATCTGTACGAAATTTTATTGAGATCGGTTAATAGATTCCCGAGATATAAATAGAAAATCATCTTTTTTTTTTTGTTTATACGACAAATACCTATTATTTTAAAGAGATCTATCTGCCCCCGAAGTTTCCTGCATAAAATTCGGACCACCCTGTATATGTTAAATTTGAAAAAATGAAATAAGATACAGGACACCCTGTATTTACTGCATATTATGATTTTTTTTATATTATTGATAAACCAAAGCTAGCGAAATGTATGTCTTGTGATATGCCCTCATGTACCTTCGAAAATAATTTAATTGTAAAAGTTTCAAAAGTGGATAGAATAGAAATTAATGTTGGTATTAATAGAAATACCCAGTAGTATATAGTTTAGATGTATTAGCCCTTCTCATACTAGTATTCAATTAAAATTTTAAATTCCGTTCCCAGTGGGACACAGTGTATATAGTTTGCGGTACATAATTCAAAGGGTCTTTTTAAGTGTTACAAGTAAAATTTAAAATAAAAAAAAAATGAATGGCATGTAATATAATAGCTGTCAATAGTTTAAACTTTAATATTTAAAAATAAAGTCACTATTTTAATTCTATAAAACTGGTTATCAATGTTATAATCAGTACTGAATTTTTGCGGATAAAAATACACAATACATGTGGTTTTCTACAATGTTCCTTAATGTATGACTAACCTA